GGGAACATAAGCAGGGGGGAGAGGGAGAAGCAGGCTAACCGTGGAGCAGGGAGCCCAATGTGGGACTCAGTCTCAGGACCCTGGGATCATGACCCAAGCCGAAGGCAGGCACTTAACCAATTGAGCCACCCAGGGTTCCCAGCATTTAATATTTTTGATGCTATTATAAGTAGCATTTTAAAAATTTTCACTTTCTGATTGTTCATTCCTCATCATTCCTTATATGTAGAAGTGTTTGATTTTTGGTACATTGATCTTGTATCTTGCAACCTGGCTAAACTCATTCTCACTAAAGAACTCTTCATGGGGGCGCGTGGGTGGCCCAGTCAGTTGAGCATCGGCCTTCCGCTCAGGTCGTGGTCCCTGGGTCTTGGCCTCATGCCCCACATTAGGCTCCCTGCTTGGTGGGGAGTCTGCTTCTCCTGCTCCCTCTGCCAGCCACACCCCCTGCTTGTGCTCACCTGTCTCTCTGTCAGATAAAAAAGTGTTCTTTTAAAAAGATATTTATGTGGGAGAAAGAGTGTGTGTGCAGGAGGGGGCAGAGGGAGAGAGAGAATCCTCAAGCAGACTCTGCACTGAGCATGGAGCGGGACCTTAGGGCTCAATCCCAGGACTCTGGGATCATGACCTGAGGCGAAGGTGGACACTTCACTGACTGACCCCCCAGGTGCCCCCAGATAAATAAATCTTAAAAAGAAAAAAACTATTTTCTCCTATTGCATAGCTTGTCTTTTCACTTGATAGTGTCCTTTGATACACAAATGTTTTAATTTTGATGAAGCCCAGTTTATTTTTGTTGTTTTTGCTCATGCTTATGGTATCAATATTAAGAATGCCAATGAGGTGACAAAGATTAATCCCTGTTTTTTTCCTGAGTTTTAGTTGTAGTTCTTGCGTTGAGGTCTCTGATCCATTTTGAGTTAATTTGTGTATATAATGTGAAGTAGGGATTCGACTTTATTCTTTGCACAGGGCTATCCATTTGTCCCAGCACCATTTGTTGAAAACCTATTCTTTCATCACTGAACTACCTTTTTACCCTTGTCAAAAATCAGTTGACCAGGGGCACCTGGGTGGCTCAGTGGGTTAAGCCTCTGCCTTCTGCTCAGGTCATGATCTCAGGGTCCTGGGATCGAGCCCCATATCAGGCTCTCTGCTCAACGGGGAGCCTGCTTCCCCTGCCCTCTCTGCCTGCCTCTCTGCCTACTTGTGATCTCTCTCTGTCAAGTAAAAAAAAAAAAAAAATCAGTTGACCACATATGTAGGGGTTTATTTCTGGACTCTTCTGTTCCATTGGGCTATACTGTCTTAATGCCAGTATCACACTGTCATGGTCACTGTAGCATTAAGTTTTGAAATAGAGAATTTGAGTCTTCCTGCTTTGTTTCTAATATTGTTTTAGCTATTTTGGGCCCCTTGCAATCCCGTATGAATTTCCATTTCTGCAAAAAAAGGCCATTGGAATTTTGGTAGGGATTGCATCGAGTCTCTAATTCATTATCTTAAAGGGCCTTTAACAGTAAAGCAAGTCCTGGGGCGCCTGGGTGGCTCAGTGGGTTAAAGCCTCTGCCTTCGACTCAGGTCATGATCCCAGGGTCCTGGGATCGAGCCCCACATCGGGCTCTCTGCTCAGCAGGGAGCCTGCTTCCTCCTCTCTCTGCCTGCTTCTCTGCCTGCTTGTGATCTCTGTCTGAATAAATAAATAAAATATTAAAAAAAAACAATAAAGCAAGTCTTATATTTATATATATTTATATTTATCTTATATTCCATGATTTTCATTTCTGGTGCTTTCCGCTCCTCCTTCTAAATCTAGATTTCCATCTGGTACTGTTTTTCTTCTGCCTGAGCGATTTTATTTAATGTCTTCAGTGCCTGTGTGCAGGTGGTAAATTCTTTCAGCTCTTGTCTGTCTGAACTCCCTTTGTGGGGTTTTCACTGGGTGTAGCCCCCTCGTTAATAGGTTTCTTTTGTTTTGCTTTCTCAAGGTGGTTCCGCTATCTCCTGGCTGGTCAGAGAAATCTGCTGTCATCTTGTACTTGCTGCTTTTCTCTGGGTGATTTTAGTGTGTCCTTTCCTTTGCTGGTTTTAGGCAGTTTTGTGATATCCTTGGTGTAGTTTCTCTCATCTTGAGCTCCGGGGTGGATGAGCTGCTACCATCTGTAGATCTATAGTTTCCATCAAATTTGGAAATTCTTGAGCCATTATGATTTTTCGAGGACTTATTTTATCCTCACCCTTTCTCTTCCCTGGGACTCTGGTTTCCCTATTTGACCCACAGCTCACTCTGAGCTCTCTGGTTTTTCAGTCTTTTTTTCCGTGTGTTTTATTTTGGGTAGTCTTGGTGCTGCTGCTTCAAGCTTACTAGTCTTCCACATTGTGTAACCGGCTGCTAATCCCACCTGTTGCTCCACTCACGTCACTTTTTGTACTTCCATCTTGCAAGTCTTCTGGGTTGCTGTTGGGTGTGATCGGTGTCTGGTCTGCATCCTGAACCCATGGAAATCAGTCTCCTGGCTCTTGCCCTGGCAACGGTGAGCTCTTCTCCCAGTGACGGTGAGCTCTCCCCATTGTGGTGGACTGGTTTCCCTTTTATGGTGTTGGGAGCTGGTGCTGTTAATTCCTATGTGGGTTCCCAGGCTTTGTTCTGGGACATACTTTGATGCCTTCAGGTTGTGCCCATCAGCTTTGTTGGTCAGGACCAGAGAGCACTTACGGGCTCCATGTCTTTGCCCCCACCCCCACCTCCTCCTCTTGGCTGCCAGTGGCTCTCTCACAGGTTTGCACCAGTTGTGCCTTTTGCCTGCGATCTGCCACTTCTGCTGCCTTGTCCACCACCTTGCAGCACCACCCCCTCCCCGAAGGTCTGCCGGCATGCCCACCATTGTCTGTCTTTCGGTGCCACACCCAGAGGTCCTTTTGTGGGCGGACGAGCTGTCACGGAGCTCATCTGAACCCTGCCCCTCACTCTCTGGTGCTTAGTCACATAAAGTTCCCTGTTAATGGTAACTTCTGCTCACGGGAGCCAGATCAGTGCCTGTGACTGTTTTATTAGCTCAGCAGGATGTTCAAGTCCCCAGCTCTGTTGTCTCAGTGCTTGTGGGCTGGGCTGGGGACTGGGCGGAGGTGCAGATTTGGGCTGAGCCTGGCAGGCCTGGACGTGTGTGCGCGCACACCTGTGTGCGTCACAACATTTAGCTGTCTCACCTTGGGACAGCTTCTGATGGTTGACCCACTGCCTGGTGAGATGTCTACACTCCAGCTTGGGGTTCAGGAGTGTGTTGTACTCTGGTCGCCCAGTCAGGCTGGCCTGGAGGCTTGGAGATACAGCTCTCATTCAGGGCACCTACCTCATGGGTTGGGTCCTTCCTGTGCTTCCAGAAGCCTGGCGGGGTCTGGCACACCCCGGGCTGGTGTGCAGCTGGCAGTCAGCACTGCCACTGGTTGGGCCAGGCCCTGTGTAGGCATGAATCTGTGCTCTGTTTGGTCTTTTATTTGGGATGGGGATGGAGGAGGACAGCATCGGGAATTAGAGCTGAGCTGACTTGGTTTGAAAGGAAATGGATTTTCACAGAGTTGGCCATGCTGGCAGCTGGGGGCAGATGATCAGGAGCCGTCCTTGGGAAGGGGAGACCCCATGTTATCTACCAGTCTACCACGGCTTTCTATGTTTTGATTTGTTAAAAATATTTTTTTATTCATCTGTTTTTAAATCAGAGAGAGCACAAGCAGGGGGAGTGATAGGCAGAAGGAGAAGCAGGCTTCCTGCTGAGCAAGGATCCCGATGTGGGGCTCAATTCTGGGCCCCAGATCACAACCGCAGCGGAAGGCAGCCACTTAGCTGACTAAGCCGCCCAGGCGTCTCTTGATTTTTTATATCAGAAATGATCCTGCGCAGTAACACCCTTATCTTTATGCAGTTTCCCAATTGTTTTCTCAGAGTTCCTGGACTTCTTAAACAGCAAATAAGTGAAAATGCCCTTGTTTTTCTGCAAGAAATAAAGACATCAACTACTTCTTCAGTAGCCCTCCCTGGATTTTGTTTTTCTTCTGTGAGCCAGGAGCCCTGTAGAGAATCTGCATAGGGTGGCCACTGGGAAGGGGGCCGCTGCGGGGGACATACACAGGCCCCTGGGGGTTGTGTCCTGGGTACTGGGGCTGTGTGGAGTGGCTGGACGGAGGCACTGGGTGGGGGCCATAAGCAGCTCAGGACCGAGGCGGTGGACTGGGTTGGCTATACCATGCCAGGTTGTACTCCCCTTTGAGGGCTCCTCCCTGAGCCTGGGGGCAGGGCCCCCTTGCCTGTTGCAGCCCAGAGCCCTCCCTGGATCTGACAGTTGGTGTGGCAGTGCCCTCTCCCCTCTGGTACTTTCTGCTCTTTGCCCAGGTCCTGGTCTGTTGACTGGTTCTGAGTATCCTGGTTCACGCTCCTGTGCCATCACTAGGCCCTGGCCTGGTCTCACACCCTCCCAAGCCTCCTTGGTCTCCGTGGCCTCCCCGGATGGGTGAATAGAGTACTCAGGATCAGGCGGTGGAAGGGTGCCTCCCTGAGCCTCAGTTTCTCCATCTGGAGTGGGGCAGAGGGGTGCTGTTGGGGGCCTCAGACCTGCCCTGTTTGTTCTAGGGTAGGAGTTCCCTGCCTGGCCCCTGGGTCAGCAGCCTGACTCCCAAAAGGGGCTGTTCTGCTGCGCACCCCATATCCATCTCGTCTCTCTCGGCCCCCAGCCACTCCCTCTGCTGGGCCCGGGTCCTTCTGTGCCTGGCCCACCTCGGCCATCAGCCTCTCCTAGCCCCTCCTTGCCTCTGCCCCCTCCTGCAGCCTGTGTGGCCCTTAGGTGTCCTGCACTCCCCCAGTGGCCCGTGGCCCCCATCCAGCGCCCCCCCGTCCCGGCACGTCCTCCTCCGATGTCCAGCTTGTGGGCACTCGCGTGAGCAGAATGTCCTGCCGCAGGGCTGGCCAGCGTCGGCCTCTCTCTTACGAGCATCTGGTCTCTGCACAGGCGTTTGGACAGGCGCACACGAACCACAAGAAGGTGGCGGCGGACGGCGAGAGCCGGGAGGAGAGTCTGATCCAGGAGTCGGCCTCCAAGGAGCAGTACTACGTGCGCAAGGTGCTGGAGCTGCAGACCGAGCTGAAGCAGCTGCGGAACGTGCTCGCCAACACGCAGTCGGAGAACGAGCGCCTGGCGTCCGTGGCGCAGGAGCTGAAGGAGGTGACGGGCGCGCCTGGTGGGGTGGGGGCAAGTGTCCGGTGCCACTGCCCTCAAGGTGGGCTGGGCGAGCGACAGGGCCAGCACATGTGGCCACGAGCCCGTGTGAGCGAGTCCCGGCCATGGCCTCGGGACCCCCGGGTTCTCATCCAGAAGGGCAGGGGGCCTTGTTCTGGGCCGCAGGGAGACCCGCTGTCTGCCCTCTGTTTACTTCAGGGGTGACAGATGACCAGAGGGATGGATGGTTGTCCGTTTCATGCTCCGGATGGGAGGGTACGGAGCAGTCAGGGTCCCGCGGATCCAGGAGGGGGACTCCGGCGAGCTCTGGGACAGAGCCCAGGATCTGGCAGCAGGGGGAGCAGTCACTGCCCCTGGTTGGGGTCAGAGGTCACCGAGGCCTGTGGGCCTGGGAGGAGCTTGGCTTGGATCCCGTTGTGGAGCCAGAGTGCATGATCTCACTTCCTCCCACAGGATCACCCGGCTTGGAATGGGAGGAGGGTTTGACCTTACTGAGGCAGTCTCAGTCGCTCTGCTGGCCATGCTCATTCCACTCTCCTCCTCTTCCAGAAGGGCTTGTCTGGGCTGTCTGGAACACCCTGGGGACCTGCTGACTCCTGGCTTTGTGCCTCAGGAAATTAGCTCAGCTGGTCCCTCGCGAGACCAGGTTTGGTGGGGCTGGGATTCCTGCTCTTCCTGTTGGTGCTTCAGGAGGAGGCCTGCCCACCCCACCCCACGCACCCTCAGCCTCCTCTTCCTCTCAAGGCCCTGTTTCTTGCCCCACAAGCCCACTACTCCCGGCTCAGACCAGCATCCCCTCCCTCGCCAGCCCCGTCGTACCCTTTCTGAACTCTTCTGCTGGTCCTGGGCGGGGATGTGGCCATCCCCTCCCTTCCCTGAGGCTGGCACACGCGGCTCAGGCCTACTCCAGGAGCCTGACCCCAGGAACACAACACCAAGCGCTGTCCCCAAGCAGTGCAGCCCCGCACCTGCCTTCGTGTGACATGCACTGTAAGCCGTGCGGAGTCACCCCAGGGGACACCCCTTCCATGACGATAGCTGTACCTCCTGGTGCCTGGGCTTGCTGCCATCCATGTGTCCTCTGACCAGACCCCCCGTGACAGTCAGCTTGTGTCTAGCCCCCAGTGTCGACTTTCCAGGGGCATCCAATGGCCTCTGTCATGTGACCTGTATAACAGATGTGCTTAGCTCATGGGACAGCCTCAGCTGCCCTAGAACTCCTCTTTTTGGTGAGCCTGTGGGCATCCACATACTTACCTCATCTCATGGATGGCGAAACCAAGGAGCAGCTCTGGGGTCCTGACCTCTGACTTCTGTGCTGTTGTGTGGATGGGCGCAGCTAGCATCTGTCCTGGGACGTGGCCTTGAGCCTCATTTTGCATATGAAGAAGCAGAGTCCCCGGGAGTTGGGCACGGCCACAGCTGGCTAGAGGCAGAGTCCAGTCTCGTGCACACACCGAGGCCTTCCAGGGAGTTGCTCTGGGAAGCGAGGTGGGGGCTACTCTTGAGAGGTGGGACTGGGTTGGTGAGGAGTCAGCCTCATCTGCCCTGTGGCACCCTGCCAGGTCATCTCTTTGTCGTGGCAGGCCCTGTCCTTGCTGCCCTGGTGGACCCCATGTGTCTCGGGCCCCAGAATAAAGGACAGAGTCGTCCCAGCAGACATCTGTGCTCCCTGTCACCCAGGGAAGAAGCCAGGAAAGGCTTGATTGCCGCTGTGGTGGTGTCTGGGCCACCCAGAGCCAGCTGGAAGGAAGCGAGACGTCTGGTCACAAGCTCAGACGGGTGCTAGGGTCAGGAGCAGCCTTGTCAGGTGCCAGGTGGGTCTTCAGCATGGGGTGGCTCCCAGCCCAGGGTTTGGGAGATGGGGGGACTGTCACATGGGCAGATAGCCTAGAGGCAAGAGGAGGGGATGTGGGTATGTTGAAGAGGCCACAGGGGTGAAGCCCCACATGGAGGAGGACCGGGAGGCCTGTGTGGGTCTTAAGGGAATGGGTCCCATGAGGAAGGGCTCGTTCCTCCTGGGGAGCAGGGTGTGGTGTGCAGCAGCCCACCAGGAGATCAGGTCAGTTGGGGAAGGCTTGTCTGTGGAGAGGCAGGTGTCTCCTGGACAGCCTGCACAGGGCAAGCTCACCCGAGCCTTGGCCTCTGCAGTTACACGCGGAGAACGCTTACCTGCCCAGGCACTTCAGGGGGCCCTGCCCAGCCGGGAGAAGGTGGCTCCTGGTCCCAGGCAGGCCCACCTGCCACCCCAGCCTACCCTCTTTTAGAGCTGGCCCTTCTGGTGACGGCGGCTCTTGGCAGGGGGCTTCCTAGGAACTCGAGTAAGGTGTCGGTCTCACAGGCACCTCGGCTGCTGTGCGTATAACACAGCTGTGGACAGTTTCTGTTACTGCAGCAGCCGCAGGGCTGGGCCCATCACAGGACTCTGTTTGCCTCAAGACAGCAGGTCCAGCCTGGTTCATCGCTTACCACCTTCCTAGAACCCACTGGGAGAAAGGCAGAGGGAAGTAGAGCTGAGCGCCTGGAGGAGAGAGTCACTACCTGTGAGACCCCTTTGTGTCCCTCTGATTGGCTTGTGTGGTTGTCCTAGGCCGCTAAATGAGGCTTGTTCCTGGGTTCCCTCTCCTGATGCTCCTTCCTGCCTCTCTCTCCTGGCTCCTCCTCCCGCCACCCAGAGCTCCTGCAGCTGTGACCCAGGCTGCAGGACCCAGGACCTAGGGCGTCACCACTGCTCTGGAACTTTCCAGGCAGGGAGTCTCCCCTCCTCCTCCCCCACCCCTCCCAACATGCACACACACACACACACCTGGGGTGCCTCACTTCTTGGGGTGGACAGGGAGGGTGGGCACAGCCCTGGCTGGAAGGACAAAGGCCTGGCTCAGCCCTGACCTACCAGTGCCTCCTGCCCTGAAGGTGCTTCTCTGGCTGTGTGAGGACAGCTATCTGGTCCAGGGCAAGTTCTGCCTGCCATTCCCCATGGGCCTCCTCAGGGTTTCCTCAGTGAAGGGGAGTGTCTGCTCCCATGTTCTCCTCAGGGCCTCTGGGGGCTGAGGTGGGAGCATGCTGACGGGCTGGGGGCACTGAGGGGTATGGAGAGGGTTTGCTGGTGAGGAACCTAAGGTCCAGGGTCCCCACGTGTCCACCTTCTCCAGACAGCCTGCACCGTCGGGGCAGAGGGTCACGTGTTTACTGCCTGTGCCCATCGTAAGGCTGCCATCCACGGGCGGGCTGGGAGAAGATGCTTACTTTGGGGAAAACCAAAGCATGTGGTGGCCAGTTGGAGCTTGTCAGAGCCCTCAGAGTTGGGTGTGTGCTAGGCAGAGGTGCTGTGTCTGCTGCAGAACCAAAATGCAGGCATCTGGATCCTGTAGCATTCCCAGAAGGTGCCCTCACCTGCCACATGTGTCCTGGGCCAGTCTGTGAGCTTGGTGCCTCTTACCTCTCCGCCCATGGGACCCCCTGTCGTTTGTCAGCCCAGGTGTTTGTGATTGGAGGCTGTGTCGTCATTTTTAGCAACAAAGCAAGACGGGATGCGTCTCCCTGTGGGCCCATCACCCTGAGTTGGGAAGGTTGTCCTGGCCGTGGGGGGAGCTACCCCTCATGTCTCTTCCTGCAGTCTAGAGGGACGGTAGCTGCGGGGTTCTGGCTCTGGCTTCCATCCCGAGTGGTGGCCGTGTCCGGTCATGTCACGTGTGTTTGGGTACCTCTTGCACCCCAGGTGAGAAAGGGCAGAGTAGGCAGGGCATTTCTGGAGAGGCAGAGCAGGCACATGCCTGGTGTTCGTGGGAAGTGAGGAGGTGCTCTGGGCGGGGGTGACCGTGCTGCTCGGAGCAGACGCGGCGCATACGCGTTCCATGGACTGTCTACAGTGGGGGGAGTTCCGTGTCAGTCAAGGACACAGGCTGTGTGCACCTTCAGCTCACCAGGGCCCCCACGTGCCGTCTGGAGTTCAGGTTTTGGGGTTCGGGGGTCTGGGAGCCCAGGCTGGCCTGTGCACCCCCCTCCTCCCCACCACCACCTACTGTTTCAGTCCGTCTCAGGGCCCTTGGGTTTGAAGGTAGTTGTTGAGCTTTAAGTAAATAAAGCCTGTTTGGAAGAATAGGAGTGGATCTTGCTCGTGACCATGCTCCCCATGCCACCTCCTGTGTCCTCCCATGCTGAGCGGACAGTTGCTGTGAGCAAGTGCATCAGGCCGGGGTGGGCTGAGCCACAAGTGGGGAGCACCCGGCATGCTGTAGCCACGTGGACGTGGCAAGCCCACGGTCACGGTTCTTATGAGTCCGTGATTGTGGTGGTAGGGAGGGCTCTCCAGAGCCGCACACCAGGGGAGAGGGTTGACTTCGTGTAAGGATTTAGCTCAGGTGGCTGTGAGGGTGGTGGACCAGTGGCTGGAGACCCAGGGAAGAGCTGAGGTTACAACTGGAGTCTGAAGGGGTCTGGAGGCAAAATTCCTCTTTCCAGAGCATTCTAGTCTTTTCTTTGGGGCTTGGAACCGATGGGAGGAGGCCCGTCATGGAGGGTGCTCTTCTTCTCTCAGAGTGTGCTGAGTTAGACGTCACTCTCACCTGTATCCAGCGTGGTGGCGTCTGGACTGGCATTTGCCCAAGTGCGTGGATGTGGGGCCTCGCCGCGTTGCCACAGACGTTAACCCTGACAGTTAACAAGGGCAGCAAACAAGGGCGGTGCCAGCCCTGAGCTTGTGTGTGGGGCTTTGTCAGGGATTTCCAGCTGCCTCTCCAGATCAACAGAAGTGAGTGACAGTGTTTCCTCACATCGCCGCTCGGACCATATCATTTTGCATATTTTTGCCTGTTCAACAGGAGTTTTGCTTTCTGGGTGAATCTTGCCTTTTCTTCAACCTGTCATGTGCTGTGTGTTCATTCTGGTGTCGCTCTTGGCTACCGCCTCAGGTCACTTTGCTGGAGACTCGTGTAGTGAGTGGTTGTCAGGAGTGCTTGACACCGGATGACTCCCCCTTTTTGTTGCTTTCATGTTTTCCTTCTTTCTCTCTAGTCCTGTTTCATCTTACCCATCCAGCGTTGCTGGCGCGTGTGTACCTGCGTGGAGTCTTGGGGTCTTGTCTACAAAGCCCCAGCACAGTGGAGAGGCCAGTTCATGAGGAGCGAAGGCAGAGAGGAGGGCCCAGTGGGGTGGTGCTGGCCTGAGGAACCAGATGCCACCTGGAGCGCGAAAACAGGGGACAGGTGGGAGATAGTCTGTCTAGGGATCATTTCTGCCGCCGGGGATGTCAGCGACGTCTGGAGACCATTCTAGTTGTCACAGGGTGGGAGGGAGCTGCGAAAAGTCCTGTCACATACAGGACAGCCCAGAATGTCACAGGGACTGAGGTCAAGGAACCCAGCCAGGTCCTGGCTCAGCTGCGTGGCTGCCAGCGCCAGTGGGACCCGCTGTGGCCAGCTGCCCACCCCCACCTTCCTCTTGGCAGATCAACCAGAACGTGGAGACGCAGCGTGGCCGCCTGCGGGATGACATCAAGGAGTATAAGTTCCGAGAGGCCCGCCTGCTGCAGGACTACTCGGAGCTGGAGGAGGAGAACATCAGCCTGCAGAAGCAGGTGTCTGTGCTCAGGCAGAACCAGGCAAGTGTCCGGGCTGCGGCCCCTGCCCTCGCTTGCGGGTCTGTGGTCTGCTGGCGTTTCCCTGCCTCCTTTCCCAGAGCCAAGCCCAGGGCCGCACAGCACGTTGCGGTGGACTAAGGGGTGTGGGGGCAGGACCCAGCCTCTCCTGGACCATGAGAATGAGGTCTCTGCCTGTAGTATTGGCTGACTGCTGGCCTGGCCAAGGCGTCCCAGTCAGCAAAAGTGGGAAAAAAATCCAGAAGGTGATGCAGAGGAGACACCCGAGCCCCAGGAGGCGGGGTGTCCGGGCCCATTCCTCCCACAGTTCGCCTGCTCCTCTGTGTGTGGTCCCGGGCCTTAGTGGCCCCCGGGTAGAGCGATGGGCACTGAGGAGCAGTAGGGAGAGGTCCGAGCTCTTATCTCCTGCACTCAGATAACCCCAACAATAGGTAGGGTCACCTCAGGCTGTGATGGGGTCAGGAGGGCCACCTCCACTGGTGACAGAACACCCATGTGAGATCCCTGAAGGCCTACACCTGCCGCCTACCTCTCCAGGCCCTACAGCTCTGCAGGGTGGGGCTGGGGGACCTTTTCCCAGGAACCCCAAAGCTCAGCGCCCTGGATGTTTGAATCTTGCATGGGAAGGCCTGGGTTCATGTGTGTATGTCAGCAGCAGGCCTGCTGTGACGCTGCATATCAGTGGTCATACACAAGTGTCCTGAGACAAGGAAACTGAGGCAGATGGTGGAGTCCAGCCCCTCCCAGCCTCCCTGCCCCTGGGTTGTGTTCGTTTCTTGCACCAGTATAACAGAATGATAAATACTTCCAGAAATTCCGTTGCCACCTCTGCAGGCACCTCCCTGGCCCGCCCGCAGACACGGCTTCAGTCCGTGTGACCCCAGGTTGTCTGCTGCTCCCACTGGGGTGCCCCCAGGTCTGGGTGCCAGGAGTGCTGCGGCATGTCCCTCCTCCGTGGGAGCGCTCGTGCTTTTGCTTGCAGATAGGATTAGATGTGATGGTTCTTGCATGGGCGCCGATAACGTGTTTTAGGTTTCTTAGAATATTTAACCAACTATTCATGTTCGTGAAGTAGCTCTGGAACTTCCAGCCAGTGTGTGCATGCTGCCGTTTCACGTGACCCGACCCATGTGCAGCAGGGATGCAGGGGTTCCGGGTCCGGTCACGTCTCCGGCTCTGCCAGCAGCAGGTGCATGGGACCCAGAGCCCCTGAGCGTCCAGCGGCCCTTGCTGCGGCGGCCACACGCCGGTGTGTCCCCCTCGTATGGGCACAGGACAGCGTCCCTGTCTTTCCAGGTGGAGTTTGAGGGCCTCAAGCATGAGATCAAGCGTCTGGAGGAGGAGACCGAGTACCTCAACAGCCAGCTGGAGGACGCCATCAGGCTCAAGGAGATCTCGGAGCGGCAGCTGGAGGAGGCGCTGGAGACCCTGAAGACGGAGCGAGAGCAGAAGCTCAGCCTGCGCAAGGAGCTGTCCCACTACATGAGCATCAACGACTCCCTCTACACCAGCCACCTGCACGTCTCTCTGGACGGCCTCAAGCTCAGCGACGACACCGAGGCCCTGGCCAATGGCTTCGAGCATGGTGGCCTGGCCAAGCTGCCCCCAGACAACAGGACCTCCACGCCCTCCAAGGACGGCCTCGCCCCGCCCTCCCCCAGCCTGGTGTCCGACCTCCTCAGCGAGCTCAACATCTCCGAGATCCAGAAGCTGAAGCAGCAGCTGATGCAGGTGCGGGCGGCCGGGGTCATCACAGCGCCGGGGCCTTGAGGGTGCCCGTGCTCCCTCTTACCGGTGTTCACTGTACAGGCCATGTCGTTGCTGTAGTGACAGTGCAGAGTTGCAGGGGAGGTGCCCCGAGGAGGAGGGTCCTGGCGATGAGGTGGCAGTTTGGGCCCGGCCCAGGGTTCCCTGGGTTTCCTCGTGCCCCTTCACGGGCCCACGTGCAGCCTCCCATGCTGCATCATGTCAGGGTCTCCTGCTCTGGACAGGCCAGTCCTGGCATCTGCACCACGGCCCGCCCCTGGCTGGCACACATCTCCAAGGAGGGCCCTCTCAGCTCTGCAAGCTTCCAGGCAGGGAGGGCCCCTTAAGGCTCCACAGATGGCACCCGCGTTGCCCACATCACAGAGACCTGCAGGGTGATCGCTGTGGCATAGGCGGGGTCATCTCTGGGTCTGTCCTGGGGGTCCTGTGGGCTGCTGACGGGCCTCCTGTGCTCTTGCAGATGGAGCGGGAGAAGGTGGGCCTGCTGACAACACTGCAGGACACGCAGAAGCAGCTGGAGCAGGCGCGGGGAGCCCTGTCAGAGCAGCATGAGGAGGTGAGCCGCCTCACGGAGAACCTCACTGCTCTGCGGCGGCTACAGGCCGGCAAGGAGCGGCGGACGGCCCTGGACAGCGAGAAGGAGCGTGACAGCCACGAGGACGGCGACTACTATGAGGTGGACATCAACGGGCCTGAGATCCTGGCTTGCAAGTACCGTGTGGCCCTGGCGGAGGCAGGTGAGCTCCGCGAGCAGCTGAAAGCCCTGCGCAGTGAGCATGAGGCCGGTGAGGCCCGGCACGCAGAGGAGAAGGGCCAGCATGAGGCCGAGAGCCAGGCGCTCACAGAGAAGGTCTCCCTGCTGGAGAAGGCCAGCCGCCAGGACCGCGAGCTGCTGGCCCGGCTGCAGGCAGAGCTGAAGAAGGTGAGTGATGTCGCGGGTGAGACGCAGGGCAGCCTGAGCGTGGCCCAGGACGAGCTGGTGACCTTCAGCGAGGAGCTGGCCAACCTCTACCACCACGTGTGCATGTGTAACAACGAGACGCCCACCCGAGTCGTGCTGGACTACTACCGAGAGGGCCCGGCCGGCGCCGGCCGCTGCAGCCCCGAGGCCCGCGGGCGCCGCTCACCCGTCCTGCCCAAAGGGCCGCCAGCCACAGAGGGTGGGGCGGGGGACAGCAGCCCCTCGCCCAGCCCCTCTCTGCCCTCGCCCCTGAGTGACCCGCGTCGGGAGCCCATGAACATCTACAACCTGATCGCCATCATCCGCGACCAGATCAGGCACCTGCAGGCGGCCGTGGACCGCACCACAGAGCTGTCGCGGCAGCGCCTGGCCTCCCAGGAGCTGGGCCCCGCCGCAGATAAGGACCGGGAGGCGCTCATGGAGGAGATTCTCAAGTTGAAGTCCCTGCTGAGCACCAAGCGGGAGCAGATCACCACGCTGCGCACGGTGCTCAAGGCCAACAAGCAGGTATGCAGCTGGGCGGGCGGGGCTCCTCCCTCCCTGGGCCTCTGGCAGGGACCCGTGTTTCTCAACCCCCTGCCCTTCGTGTTTCTGACCCCCAGACGGCTGAGGTGGCCCTGGCCAATCTGAAGAGCAAGTATGAGAACGAGAAGGCCATGGTGACCGAAACCATGATGAAGCTGCGTAACGAGCTGAAGGCCCTCAAGGAGGATGCAGCCACCTTCTCCTCCTTGCGCGCCATGTTCGCCACCAGGTACTTCCCATGGCTCCTGCCGGGGGCCCGGGGTCAGGCCCTGCGGGGGGCTCCACCCCTGCCGCTGCTGAAGGCCACCAGGGCTGTCACGTGCGGTGTCGTCTGCACTCCCTCGCAAGAGGACTGGGCTGGTGGCAGAGGCTGAGAGGCCAGGGCCCAGAGGCCGGGCTGGAGGCACAAGGTCAAAAGGGGGTGCGGGCTGAGGCTGATACCCGAGTATAGTTAGCTCCCCAGAACTCCGCAGGAAGTTTGTAGATTCACAAGGAAGTTTCCCTGCCTGGCAGTGGGGTGCCCCATCTGACTTGCTGGCCAGGGATTAAGCTGGGGAGGGCAGCCAGCTGTGGACATAGGCACCCATCCACCTCCCCCAGGAAGTCAGAGCAGGAGGCTGCTCAGGGCCCTGGTTTTGGGTTTGCACTACCCACAGGGACTGGTCTTGGGCAGGCACCGGGGATGGGACGGGCCCATGATGGTCCAGGCAGGTCCTTCTTAAGTCGGGGAGGCTAAGGCTATGTTTAGATGGGGTTGTAACCCAAATCAAGGCCTGTTGCTCTTCGTGCTGTTGGAGGGGGCAGAGATGAGGAAAGAAAGTTCCAGGCTTCCCTGAAGGCTCCCTGTCCTCCTGGTCAAAGACCTTGGAAAGGACCCCACAGTCAGTCCCTCACCATGTGGTGACATGGTGACTCTCACTTCTGTTATGTTTCATTTAACAACTTGGCATCTCAAATGCAGCTGAGATCACAGAATCGCAAGAGGGAGGACCATGGCAGGTGGAGTGAGGGATGCGCTTGCCCACTACTGCCTCCCTCAGGGACAGACCTGGAGTGGGTGTTTCTCTCCCAGCTCCTTGGAGAGAGGGGACATAGGTCCCAGGTAAGGAGATGACAAGAAGGGTCATGTCCATATGTGCCTTTCCCAGACTCTGGTGGGTCATCTGGTGACTTAACTCAGCACCTGCTGTGCACAGTGATCCAGAAACAAGGCAAGTCCTGCCTTTGGGTTTACCTGTGAGGGCCGGGTGCCCCTTAGCCTTCTGGAAGTTCGCAGAGCAGCTGCCATCTCCCTTACTGAAAACCAGCTGGGGAGCCCTTCCCAGAGGAAGCCGAACCTCTGAGAGGCAGCCACGTCCTTCCAGCCCAGCGAGCAGGACGCCGCTGAGTCCCCTTGCCCTCTGCGCGCTCTGGGCGGGTCCTCCACTGCGTGTGCCCTGCCGGGTGCTCTGCCAGCCGCTCCAGCCACGCTCTCGCCTCTGGCTCCCCCACAGGTGTGACGAGTACATCACACAGCTGGATGAGATGCAGCGGCAGCTGGCGGCCGCGGAGGACGAGAAGAAGACTCTCAACTCCCTGCTGCGCATGGCCATCCAGCAGAAGCTGGCACTCACCCAGCGGCTGGAGCTGCTCGAGCTGGACCACGAGCAGACCCGGCGGGGCCGCGCCAAGGCCGCCTCCAAGGCCAAGCCGGGCACCCCAAGCGTAAGTCACACCTGTGCCTGTGCCAGCGACAGGGCCGAGGGCGCCGGGCTCACCACCCAGGTGGTTTGTGGCGAGAAGTATAACATTTACTGCGATTAGGGCCACGGGGCCGCAGCTGCAGCTACCCTGCCGCACGTCACCTGTCTGCTTCACCTCCACTAACCCAGCAGCAGTGGGACCGCGGTGCTAGGCTGGTCTTAACCGTGACTAATGCACAGAGGGAAGGATGTGGCCGAGGCGGCGTGCTGTTCCACCTGGACCCTGTGAGCTTTGTGTCTGTTCTCACCCTTCACAGCAGCTGCTTTCCTGGTGGGGGAGGGGGTGTCGGGGGGTCTGAGTGATGTGTCCTGGCATACACGTGGCTTCCCAGGGCCTGTGTGCCGTTGGCTCCTGCCAGGGGTGGGGAGGGGGGGCAGAACCCAAATTGAAACTTGCATGTTCCCTGCACGTGTCTAATGCAGCAGCGTTAGCGGGTCCGGCCCGGTGCCAGGCGCAGCGTCAGGGGCCACGCCAAGCTTGGCATAGTTCACAGAATCCTTCGTGGTTTATGCGGCATCTCACTGCACAGCACATTCGGGACACGGTTCCCTCCCCAAGCCCAGAGAAACAGTAGCCCTGATTCCTGCGTGTTGCAGTCTGGGCACGTGCATGCACAGGGCATGGCTCATGCTCGTGAGGCACAGAGCTCAGCCTTTCTTCTGAGATCTGCACACCTGTCTGGTGGCCTGTGAGGTGACATATTGGCAGGCCCAAGGCCTGGGGTTTTTCCTTGAGAAAAACTTCGGAAGTGCCTGGCCAAACCCTGTTCTCACAGGAAGCCCATCGTTTTGTACTTAGGGTGTCCCAGCCTTCGTGGCAGGTTTCTGCAGCCTCTGCTCATCATCACACCCCCAGAGCAGGGCTCTAGAAACCTCCAGTGGATGGGCTGGAACGAGGGACTCCCACTCTCTAGCCAGAGCCCAGCCCAGTGTGGAGAGGGAGCCTCGCATGCCCGGGGCCTGTTCTGCACGCAGGTGGTGTGTCCCCCTCATCAGTGCAGTTGCAGGCGTGGCGACAGGCAGCACAGGCGGCTCTAGGACTCTCCGTTCCCAGCGCTGGCGTCCACAGCCACCTGAGGTCCCACGTTTCTTTGCAGTATTTCTCTCCCTGTTTCCCTGGGGGCCACAGGACGCGCGGCTTCTGTCTTTTCCCTGAAGGGCTCCTTGCCTGATCTCTCCATGCCCAGGGGGGTTTGCATTGCCCCCATACAGCTCTCGCCTCCGTTCCCAGGCGTGTCTCGGTCCCCAGCAGACTCAAGGTACTGCACAGACCACGGTGGGCTTGGCAGACAGCCAGAGTAGGGAGATGGTGGGCCCGGCCGTGCCAGTCCCCAGTACCAGGCTGCTTTGCTGATGGGCCGTTGGGTCTCGGGGGCCGGGCCGCTCCCTCTGCAGGCAGGTTGCCCGCTGGCCCCGCCCGCTGCTCCTTGCCGCTGCTGTCCTGCTTGCAGGCTGTCCCCGAGGCAGTGGGGCTGGCGGCGCCTCCTAACACATGCAGGTCTTTTCTGCCACTAACGCACCAGTCCTGCCCCAGCCCGGGCGGCGGTCATCTGCGTGGTGCCGGTTCTAACGCTGTCTTGTTTTCTCCCGTTTCCAGCTGTAGAGTAGCTGCCGGGAGGACTCGGCCGCGGCCCTGTCACGCTGCAGCCCCTCCCCCTCCCGCGGGTCCACGCCGAGGAAGGAAGGGCAGCCCAAAAGTCCACTTAGAAACGTGTTTGGATATGCCACTCCAGTTCTTTCCAAGTTAGCATTCCCTGAGTGTTTAATGGCAGAGGGAAAAAGCTTTAGTGTTGAGAAGGCCACCAGCTGCTGTCTGCAAGGCCTCTGCACAGCGCTGAAGAACCTGCTCGGACAGTGGCCACCAGGCTTGCTTAGAAACCCGCTAGGAACACTCAGCACCGGGGCTCCCTGCTACAGACACCCTTTTTTTATCCGATCAACCTGTGCACTTTTGATATTTTGATATTATATTTGCTTCCTTAATCCCTCCCATAGAGACGGTCTCAGATGCCGTGGTCTGTCTCGTGGTCCTGTAGCGCTCCGTCTTAGCTCCCGCTGTGCTGATCTGACAGCAGCACGTGGTATGGATGTGTTTTCCTAGCATGTAGCTCTAGACTGTTTAGATGGAGGCCTCGACCCGGCAAGGAGCTCAGCGATACGTGTCCGCGCTGTGGTTCAGCAGCCTTTTACGTTACACGGCATTATGGTTCATGTTTGAAATTACAGATTTTAAATGCCATGTTCATTAAGAAATCCAGGGTATTCCAATTCTGGGGTTTTTCATATTGTATTATTATTATTCTTAGGAATAGTTCAATGTAACAAGAAGAAAACTTGACCTTTGCTCTGGTTAAACAGTAATAGGCACTTGAAAACAAAAAGATAAATTATTGAGTGAGTAGTATTACCTACAAATTCCAGAATCTTCTGGGTTTTGGGACATTGTGAAGCATGACTGATTAACAGAATTTTATACAACTGTACCAGTGAAATTCCAAATTGGAATTGTTTTGTTACTCTGGTTGTTGTGCCAAATTGTGGTACACTTAGAAAATCCTACAGTCGTCGACTTTTAGGGTGTTCTATTTCAACACCTTTTTGTTAGTAATCATTGCCAGTAGTGCCTTCATCAGTTAAGGGAGGTGTCCCAGCGTGGTTTCGGCTCTGACATGGATAGCAAAGAGCTGGTCGGGAGTGTTGCAGGCCAGGGTGGACCAACAGGTGTGAATGGGCGCGCACCTTCGTGCCTGAGCCTGGGCATCTTCGTCGAGGGAAAGAAAACAGCAATTGTGCGAAATTCTGTTAGTCAGCGATTCTTCACCGTGCAGATCCTTGCAAATTCAGGGGCTGAGAGAAGGAACGTGAACACACGCATTGAGTGTGCTTTGGGAACCAAATGGACCTGGGGGACAAGCTAAGCCGGCGGTGCGAACAGCAGGAGGCAGGGGCGCCGGCGCCGTGGGCCCCGTGCGCTGGGGCGAGGGCTAGCCGGAGTGTTCTCTGCAGCTGTGAGGAAGAGACGTTCTGTGTTCTCTTGCTTGGTGTAACTAATCACTGTTCATTTCAGGAAACAGAACTCGGTAAAGCTCCTCAGTAGCCCAGGGCTGTGTCCTGTCGGGTCTGCTGAGTGAGGCTGCGCTTACGGTAAAATTGGTACTCACAGAGGAAGAAAGTGTCTTCCCTTCTCCAAAATAAAGGACAAATTATAATAATATTTAAGTAGCAAGGATAAAAGAATTCTGTTTCCTGGAATAAGCATTTCTTATTCCTAGTTATAAGGAGCCCTATTTTTACCTTCTATTACAGTGTTGATTCATAAGAAATAATGTTACATTTACGATGACTTCATCTGTATGGGGTATTTATTTGCAATGATGTCTGAGTACTGTATTTTTTTTCTGTGCGTTACCTTAGTGTCAGAAATGTTGTCTTTATTTTAAGATCATATGCATGTTCTCCTGCCAAGGAACCTTTACACAGACCCTAACAAACAAAAAATGCCTTCAGATTCTGAGAAAATAAGGCAGAATGGAAAAGGAGTAGGACAGAGCAGTCCGTCGCAGCTTGGGACGCAGGTGAACGGCACAAATGTCTGCAAAGCCAGTGCACATAGGAACAGTGGGCCTGGTAAGGGTCACGTTGGTAGGACCAATAAATAAAGAATAATACAAAAGCACAAGACTTGTTCTCTGTGGCTGCTCGGACCCTCGGCTCCAGGTGACTGTGGGGCCAGCAATGCATCGTAACTCCAGTGCCTAAAACAACGAAACCAGCCTATCTGTGAACGCTGGGTAGGAAGTGGACATAGCCTGGGGCCCGTTTCGGAGGTGCGGACAGGAGGGGAGGTGTGGGATGCCTCTGGCAATGGGCCTCAGGTGTCCTGAGCCCCAGCAGTGTGGCAGCGAGAGCACATCGCCTTCACACTGTCCTCTCTCAGGAAGCAGAGATTTGGATAATGTGGGGTCCTTTGCTGCCCAGACTCTTGCTCTGTGAACTCAGGGATGCGTAGCCATGTTCACCTGTAGGAATGCCTATGAGGAACGCTGGGCTTGTCCTGCTGTGAGCTTTGGGGCAGATTCTGGCTGAGGGGACAGGGCGTCCTGGGGACACTCTGGCAACATTCCTCTGACAGCCTCATTCAGGCCCGAGGGACTGCCCAGACCTCAGGTAGCTGTCCTCTTGTCCCCTGGCCTCTTCCCAGGACACCTTCCTCTACCCACAGTCTCTTGCCTTGTGGTCTGCAGGGCCCCTTCCTCTCATGGTTCCCATCTGGCTTGTGTAGCAGCTGCTGGAACCCATGTTCAGCTTGAAACCTCTTTTGAAAGAAACTCATTTTTTAAAATTCAGTAGCTGAAAGGACTCTTCCTCGCCTGCCCCATGCTGCCCCACCAGGACCCTGGAGGAGGGGATGCTGGCAGTGGGCCGGGCAGGCGCCATCCAGCCCTTGGCTGCCACTTGTGTGTGGTGCATTGTGGCTCTGGCCCAGTCCTGTCATTTGGGGTGTTTGACTCACAAGCACAGATGCTGAGGCCTTCTCTGCCTTGCAGCCTGCTCTGGGTTTATGCACACATGGTTCTTCGTTTCAGGGACGGAGTGGCAGTCTCTTGATGGGTGGTGTGGGGGGTCGGTTGGCCCTGGAGGGTCGCCTGCTTGGCTTTCCTTTCTAAGAGGGTGTGTCTCCGTGTGTCTCCATTCCCACCACCACCTCCATCTCCCTACAGTGGTTTTTTTTTTTTTAATTAACATACAATGTACTGTTTTCAGGGGTACAGGCCTATGATTCATCATCAGTCTTACACAATTCACAGCACTCACCACAACACACACCCTCCCCAGTGTCCACCACCCAGCCACCTTTTCCCTCCCACCCCCTTCACTCTAGCAACCCTCCGTTTGTTTCCTGAGATTGAGCCTCTTTGGTTTATCTCCCTCTCTGGTTTCATCTTGTTTCATTTTCCCTTCCTTCCCCTATGATCCTCTGTCTTATTTCTCAAATTCCTCCTGTCAGTTAGATCCTATGATAATTGTCTTTTTCTTATTGACTTATTTCACTTAGCATAATGCCCTCTAATTCCATCTATCTGCAGTGGTTTTCACCCCAACCCCTGATAGGTTCCCAGAGTTGGAAACAACAGCGCCAGTTTGAAGATAGACCTTTGGTTGAATTGCCCTCTTTTCCGTGGGGGAAAATGGAGAAAAATCAACAAAACCTGAAGTTGTTTCTTTGGAAAGAACAACAAAATGACAGACCTTTACACTATGAAAAAAGACACTACTAAAAATCAGAAATGAAGATGGGGAATTACTTCTGACTTTACAGAAATACAAAGGATAACAGTAAAGTACTATGAACATTTATACACCAGGAAATTAGAGAATCCAAACCTGAATGCAGCAGACAGAAGGAAATAGTAAAGAGAACTGAGCCGAGTGAAATAGGACAATCAATAGAAAAAGATCAATGAAAAAAGTTATTCCTAGAAAAGATCGACAGATTGACAAACCTGACATGAATAAAAAGGTTTGTAAGAGACCACACTGCTAAAACACTAGATAACCTTAATGAATTGGCAAGCTACTTCAGTCCCACCAAGTACAAAAACTGCAGGGGAAATAATCCTAGAGACATAATGAGAAATGGTATCCGTCCTCAAAAGTCTTCCAGCAGAACCTCTAGTTTCTGGTTCAGCTTGTAAGGAGCTTGGAAGTCATCACTTTGTCCTAACAAGTTAGAAGCTGAACAAACTGGAAAACCAATCGCCCTTCTTGGATCCGGCAGAGAAGTGAGGTCACAGGGCACGAGACACATACAGAGAATTAGAATTTACCAGAGCAGTTATAAGCTGGGCAGGAAAACCTGAACTGTCACTGGCAGATTGCTGAAAGCCCAGGGCAGTGGAAAATCCGGGAGGGCCCAGTCGTAGGGGACCCTCACACTTAGGTGAGTTTTGCCTCCAGCAGCTCTACGGGAGTCTCACTGTAAATAGTGCAGAAAAGTCCCCTCAGGCTTCTGTCCAGTGCAGAAGGGGAAAAGGAGCCATTTTTAAATATTCCAGAGTATTCTGATTTTAACCAGCCCTCCTCTCAGGACGAACTATTTTGCCAAGGCCTAAGAGACCTGGGAGAAGGGAAATACCAACTCCAGTCCCCTCTGGCCATACTTTACTACCTGGAGGGGTGAGAAGAAGAAAACTGTGAAGCACTTGAGTTCAGAGCCTAGAGGCACAGGTGCTCTAGTCACAGACCTAGTTGTAGGTCCGTAGTGTGCTTCCTCGCTCTGCACCTTACCAGTATGTTACTAATTCCCATTTACCGTGGATCCCTTTCCCCAGTACGTCATGGTCTGGCTTTCAACAAAAACTTGAAGCATAATAAAATGAAAATAAAACCCCAAAACCAAACACTGAAAAGACACGTAAGTATCAGATACAGCAGAAATGTTGGACGTATCAGACCAGGAACTTAAAATAACTTTTGACTAATATTGAGGGCAGTAATGGAAAAAGTAGACACCATGTAGAGACAGATGGGTAATATAAGTAGAGAGGTGAAATGATTCTTAAAATAACCACTGTGACAGTAATGAAGAAAGCCTTTGATGAGCTCATTATTGGATTGGACACACCTGAAGAATTGCTGAGCCTCAGGTAATGTCAGTAGGAATGTCGGAACTGAACAGCAAAGAGAAAAAAAGAATGAAAAAAAAAAGAAAGATCACTGTGGGACAACAACAAAAGGTGTATCATAAGCACAGGGGGGACACCAGCAGGAAAAGAGAAAGGAAAAGAAGCAATAGTTGAAATGACCGTGACTGAGAGTTTTCCCAAATTGTTGACCACGGAATTGCAGATCAAGCTCAGAGAACAGTAAGGAGGACAAATTCCAAAATAAGTTTGCACCTAGGCTTGTGATACTCAAACTCAAAGTCATATATAAAGAACCTTTAGGGGCGCCTGGGTGGTTCAGTGGGTTAAACCCTCTGCCTTCGGCTCAGGTCATGATCCCAGGGTCCTGGGATCTAGCCCCGCATCAGGCTCTGTGCTCAGCAGGGAGTCTGTTTCCACCCCCTCTCTCTGACTGCCTCTCTGCCTACTTGTGATCTTTGTCAAATAAAGAAATAAAATCTTTTGTTTTTAAAAAAAAACCTTTAAAAAGGCCAGAGAGTTTGGGGGGCGGGGGGGGGGTAGGAGTTTTATCTCTAGTGAGTGAAATAAGAATTACATCTGACTTAGAAAACATGCAAGGACAGAGTGGTAGGAAATATTTAAGCTGGTTAGAGGGAAAAAAGACCAACCTATAATTCTGTATCCTGTGAAATTACCATCGGAAAATAAAGACTTGCTGAGAGAAAAATTGAGGGAGTTTGTTGCCAGTATGCCTTCCTTGCAATAGATGTACAAGTTTTCCAGAGAGAAGGAAAATTACATAGGTTAGAAACTCAGTTCTACATAAAGAAAGGAAGATTGTTAGAGAAGGGATAAAGTAAAGTAAGAACTGCCTTGTACTTCTTACTGTTAATCTAGTAAGTTTGCTCCAAGTAATAGTAATGTTTTTGAAAAGATTACAGCATATGTGTGAGATGAAAGACAGCATGGATACAAGGGACAGGAGGTAAGAATTAGGAATATTTTGTTACTATAAGGTCCTTGGACTAATTGAGAAGTGGCATGGTGTTATTTGAAAGTGGACTTGCATAAGGATGCCTGGGTGGCTTGCTTAGTTAAGCATGCAGCTCTGGGTTTCGGCTCAGGTCATGATCTCAAGGTTGTGAGATAGAGCCTGGCCTCAGGCTTCACGCTGGGTGTGGAACCTGCTTAAGATTCATTCTCCCTCTCCCAGCTCCTCTCCTCAAAAAATAAAAAATGAAGTGCACTTGCATTAATTGTAAATATATTTCGCAAACTGTTAGGCAATGACCAAAAAAGATTTTAA